CTCTGACTTTTGGGTTGGGCCAAGTGACTCACTCTGAACAATAGGATCAAGTGGAGATGATAATGATAATGTTGCAGTTTCTAGCCCAGGCTTTAATAGAGCTTGCTGGTTTGCGCTCACTTTCTTGTACTTCTGCCATGACCAGGAGAACAGATTTCTCTGTTGGTTCATGGAGGATGAGAGACTCTTGGAGCAGAGCCTTTCCAGTACACCTGAGTCTAGGTCAGCTTATCTGCAGATGAACAAGCTAAACAGATGCTTATTGAGCATTGTGTGTTTGTCATGCTATGTTTTTGTGGCAATAGCTAACACACAAATTTAATGATGGCCTTATGTTTGAAGTAATTCCACTGGGATATAGTGTGAGAGAACAGAATATAAGAAAGCTATCTTGAAAAAAATCTCTACTTCAAAGATGATAATGCCAAAGTCATCTCAAGGTTAAAACACCTCTCAGGAAAGAGATTCCAAAAACTCTCTGGGTAACTGTTGCTCTTTGGAAGTTTTTCCTTCTAAAGGTGAATCCAACCTACAGTATTTCAGTTTAGGACACCTTCTTGCCATCAAGGATTTTTAAATCAAATTGATTAAAGCCTTTATTTTAGAAACTGTTTTCAACTTGTAAGAGAAAATCATTTTAAGAGGAAACTTATATTGCTTTTCAAGACTCTGGAAAACTCTGCATGGGTAAAAATTAGTTAAAAGCTGACATTCAATTTAATTTAGAAAATATTTATTGAACCCCTATTTTTGGGAAGATATTTATTCTTGGTAACCATGTCTTAGAAATGATGAAACTGGGGGCCTTAAAGATTAAGTAACATGACTAAGGTTGCATAGTAAATGACAGAGCTGGGATTTGAATTTAATTTTATGACTCCAAGTCTACTTCTTAGGAATCCTTTGCCAAAGAAAGGTTATGGAATGGAATGGCTTACTACCTTTAGCCCTGCATTCTGTAGCATATCTTTATTTCAAATAGCCTTCTTATACAGAAGAGAGGCCTAAGAGCAAATCAACTTATCAGAATAGCTTTGGGTCTTCTGTTGGTCCTTATGGTAAATATGCAACCGAATCTTGACAAAGTATCCGAAAGAAAATCTTTTATGATACGAAGAGTTTTCGTTCTGACATCCCTTCAAGAGAAACTTCTCAATTTTATGCATATAAACAAATAAGTTATTTTTAAAAAAACTAAATTATTTTTAAAAATAGTAATGAATATAGCTAATATTTATTCATCACATTATTATATGCCAGGTACTGTGCCAAGTATTTTATAAGTATTGTTATAATTATATCTTGTAACACTTCTAAGATTATGTCTATTGTGATACTCATTTTAAAGGTAAAGAAATTCAGATAGAGAGAGGGAAAGTAACTTGTCTACATACACATAGCACAAAAGTAGCAAACCTTTCATTTGAACCCATGAAATCTGAATCAGGAATACATGCTTTAAATCACTAGACCGCCTTCTAAAGAGTGCATCTCAATATCTGAAAGGTCTTTTGTTGACAATGTTCCCACGAGTGGCTGTTCAATTGGAAGACACCAGAACAAGTTCAATTGTTCTGCATAATAAAATCTGTTACAAATGTAAAGTATCAGGTAACTGATATGGGAGCTGGGGCAACAGGAGACAATGATGTTAGTTTTTTAGAGAACAGTATACAAGGAGAGCGCTCCGTGGTGGTATATTAGGGAAGATTTGGAAAGGGACCAGTCAATGTGTATTCATGATATTTAGCGCATGTTGTGTGTGATCTAAAATCTTCTGTTTCTCCTACAAAATATTCACTTAAAAAAATCACATATCTCTCTAATTCTTTGGTAAAGTGAAAAAACTTGGGGGCAGGGATAAAATGTGTTTTAATATTGTGTCTTCTAACAGCTTAAGGCCTAGATAAAATGGGCTCACAGTGATATTTAGATAGTAATGGTGTGGCTGTGGTTTAAAGGTGGTTCCTTATGTAATATAGACCCTTGGAATATGCCTGTCCTTTGGCATAGCCTGTCTCTTGAGCTTTTGGTCTATTTTTATCTTTTGGTCAATATTAAATGCAAAATTGGGTCTGACTTCCCTTTTTAATGTTGGCTGCTATGCATTTCAAATTCATCCGTCTAATACTGATTTTTTTTTTTTTTACCAGTTGTAGACCTTTATTTATATATTTAAATTATTATTAGTCTCTATTTTATATCTGTAAAAGGGGAAACTCACATAACTGTTATGGAGGCTAAAACTTCCCTGTACATTGTAAGAACCCAATAACTATAATTTCTGTTTTTCACTGGAGTATAGTTGCTTTACAATATTGTGTTAGTTTCTACTGTACAGCAAAGTGAATCAGCTTTACTTATACATATATCCCCTCTTTTTTGGATTTCCTTCCCATTTAGGGTCACCACAGAGCATTGAGTAGAGTTCCCTGTGCTATACAGTAGGTTCTCATTAGTTATCTATTTTATACATAGTAGTATATGTATGTCAATCCCAATCTCCCAGTTCATCCCCCCCTTTTCCCCCTTGGTATCCATACGTTCGTTCTCTACGTCTCATCTAATACCGTTCATATTCACACAGAACCCAGAATGAACTCTGAAAAACCTAAATAACATCCTGTCTCTCCCATAGTTTAAAACTTTTTGGCTTCCCATTGCTCTTTCAATGAAATTGAACATCTTCACAAGGTGAATTAGACCTTACCTATTTCTCTAATTTTATTTTAAAATCCAATCACACTGGCTGTGCAGGGAAACACTGAAATGTGGTCCCATCTCAGGCCCTTTACCCATGCTGCTCCTTCTGCTTGGAATGCTGTTTCCTCAGAAGATGGGCTCTTCTCTCATTTCATTCAAATCTCTTCTCAAATGTCTTTCCAATAGAAGGGTCTTCTCTGAGTACTCTTATCTAAAATAGTGCCTCCCTTTGTCAATTTTTACATTATCCTGCTTTATTCATTGTACTTATTACTGCCTTATATTATCAGGTCTCCCCCTCCCATAATGTAAATTCCATGAAAGAAGTATTTATTTTGGTTTGTTCCTGCTGTATCTCCAGTGTAGATAGTCTATAAATATTTGTTGTCTAAATTAATGCAACAAATGTATCTTCTTTCCAGATCTATAATATATTCTTTTATTGTTTTACTTCCTCCACCTTTTCCTATATTTGTTCAATGTTTTCTTTGATGAGTTTTAGATTTCCTTTTAAATTCTTTCAGGATTTGTAAAATAACCTAATAAATATATAAAAGAAACTAACAAATATAAAAATAAGTAGAACATAGTCAAATTTAAACATATGTTGGACCTGGGTATTATAATCTCTAGGGAATTTTTTAATATAAACTCTGGTTTGACTAAGGTACTAAGGGAAATTGAGAAAACTAAGGAAAATAACTAAGATGGCAACTTAAGACTCGTTCAGAAAAAGCTCATAGGAATTAATTTAGTTTAAGTCCTTATACTTGGAGCTCCCTTAAAATGTAGAGAAAAAGAAATAAAAATGGGAGGAAGGAGAGGGAGGGATGGTGAGAGGTAAGGAAGGAAAAAAAGGAAGGAGGAAAGGAAGTAAAGAAAGGGGGGAGGGAAGAAAATTGTGGTCAGTAATAAAGGCCAGATGAACCTAGATCTTGGGAAGTATTTGATCCTAAGATTGTGTGAAAAAGAATCATAGAGGTACGAATTTGGTTTGATGGCTGGATGGGTCATTTATGCTGCCATGTGATACTATGTAAAGTTATAGCCTCCAGCACTCTCTTTTTGTACTTGGGGTCCAGTAATTTTCTAGGAATCTATAGTTCTGGGTTATATCAACATATACGTAAATGATCCATTATTATCCTGTCTTTTCAAATGATTTTGTCCTTTGCTTTGTTTCCACTATCTATTTTTGAGTCCTAGATGAGGTTATTTTCCTGAATTGCTATATCTGAATTTGTGGGATGGAAAGCTAATAACTCTTATGTGGTAGTAAATCACATGATCACCAGGTTTTGTTGTGTGGCATACATCGTGTGTTACATGTAGTGTTGGGGCAAATGGTGGAGAAAAAAAAAACATGGTAAAATCCTATGTATTTATGGATATATTGAGCCAAGTTCTGGAAGAGAAGGATGAAAAAGAATAGAACTATTCAATTTTCAGAGCAGAGACAGGAGGAAATGCTGCTTTGTTAAAGGAGATGCTCTTATGCCTGCTGTTTAAATTGACTGAAAGTTTCATAATTTGGATCATTGCAAGGTTAAAGAGAACAACTGCTTCTTTAACTCTGTGATCAGCATTTGTGAATGGAGGTCTGAGTAGGAGATCAGATTGTGGTACCAAGTCTTTCTTAAGCACACAGCTCTAAGCATTCTGGGTCAGTCAGTTGCGGTGAACCCACCATCAGATGTTTCTCACTCAGCTAAGCCTATTTCAAAGTTATGTAAGGCCATGACTATTGTGTGAAAGGATAAAGGAATGAACAGAAAAAAAAGCCAACGTGTAAAAGGCAAATATGTCAAAGAACATGTCTAAATAATTATTGTTTGTGGTCATTTACCCATGTTATTAATAATGATGATGGTAGTTATAAAGTAACTAGAATAAGAATCATAACAAAGTTCACGTAGTACTCATTATAATTCAGGGATTATTCTGATTGCTTATCATATATTATCTGTAACCCCTTGTGATGGTTGTGATTGTTACTCATTTTACAGAGAAGTAAACTGAGATCACAGAGCTAGTAAGAGGCAGAGCCATGATTTGATATATGGAAGTTCTGGTTTCAAGAGTCTATTTTCCTAACCACTGCATGATGGGAACCCTACTGTTTTCCCAAAGAAACTCCTAACTTGGCCTGCAAAAGCTGTGACTTCTCAATTTTTGAAATATTTCTGAAACACCCAAACCAACACGAGGGGGAAGTGAGCTGTGAAAGTAGATATGTTCCATGATGCCACTGTATCCATAGATACATTGAAGATAACAAGATATATTTTTCCCCACAGCAGATCCAGGACTCTCAGATTGGTTCCCAAGGAACTTCCTTTGCTCCCAGACCATGAAGTTCTCCCTCATCTTGTGCCTCCGGATTTGGTATGTTCTAGAAATTCACTAATGCTGTTTATTTCCCAGTCCTCCCTTGTCTAAATGAAAATTATTTTTTAGGTTTTAGTTTCCTGTTTCTTCTAAACTATTGCATATTGGTATGTTGGTGTCAGATAAGCTTTAAGATTTAAAATGTTAAGTTTCCAGACCTTCACATAGGAGCTACTCCCAAACCTGATGGAAAGAGCTTCAGAAATCCTGGACTTTTGGGAAATGAGTGTAACTGGACGGGAGTACCTTGGGGAGAGGTGAGCATGTTCGTGGGAGGTGAGAGGAAGTGTGATTGTTGGATAGTAAAAGATAGCCTGAAGAAGGTATTTCCAATTTTATGTCAAATGTTTTACTCTCACTCCTTCCTTACTAACCATCTTGATTTTGTTCAGGGTGGCACTGTGACCCCTTTTCCATGCCATCTCCCCCCTCCAAAAAAAATGCCATTTCTCAGGATTCCTTTTAATTGTAGCCAAAGGAAATAGAGATTGCTGGGGTTTTCAAGAAGAAAATTTTTATTTCTTAACTGTAGGAGATATGCTTTTGTTCTCGATCATTTCCTTCTACTTTCATGGAACGTAGGTAAGATACCTGGAAGTGGACTTGCTGTCTTAGATCATGAGGAAGAAAACCACACATTCTGTTTGGCAGAGTAGAAAGGATGCTTGTTACTGGGGTGCCTCACTCATTTTGAAAGTGCTTACTTTCTGACTTTATGTTACAAAAAAATTTGTTGTTTTTTAAAATTTTATTTTATATTATAGTTGATTTACAATGCTGTGTTAGTTTCAGGTGAACAGCAAAGTGATTGTAATACACATACACATATCCATTCTTTTTCAGATTCTTTTCAGATACAGAGTATTGAGTAGAGTTCCCTGTGCTATACAGTAGGTCCTTGTTGATTATCTATATTATATATAGTAGTGTGAATATGTTAATCCCAAATTCCAAATTTATCCCTTCTCTCGACCTTTCCCCTTTGGTAACCGTAAGTTTGTTTCCAAAGTTTGTGAGTCTGTTTCTGTTTTGTGAATAATTTCATTTGTATCTTTCTTTTTAGATTCCACATATGAGTGATATCATACGATAATTGGCTTTCTCTGACTGACTTCATTTAGTATGATAATCTCTAGGTCCATCCATGTTGCTGCAAATGGCATTATTTCATTCTTTTTTATGGCTGAGTAATATTCCATTGTATATATGTACCACATCTTCTTATCCATTCCTCTGTTGATGGACATTTAGGTTGCTTCCATGTTTTGGCTATTGTAAATAGTGCTGCAATAAACATTGGGGTGCATGTATCTTTTCAAATTACGGTTTTCTCCATATACATGCCCAGGAGTGGGGTTGCTGGATCATATGGTAGCTCTATTTTTAGTTTTTTAAGGAACTTCAATACTGTTCTCGATAATGGTTGTACCAATTTACATCCCTGCTACCAGTGTAAGAGGATTCCCTTTTCTTTATACCCTCTGCAGCATTTATTGTTTGTAGACTTCTTGACGATGGCCATTCTGAATGATGTGAGGTGATACCTAATTGTACATTTGATTTGTATTTCTCTAATAATTAGTGATGTTGAGCATCTTTTCATGTGCTTCTTGGCCATCTGTATGTCTTCTTTGGAGAAATGTCTTAGATCTTCTGCCCATTTTTTGATTGGGCTTTTTTTTTTTGATATTGAGTTACATGAGCTATTTTTATATTTTGGAGATTAATCCCTTGTCAGTCACTTTGTTCACAAATATTTTCTCCCATTCTGTGGGTTGTCTTTTTGTTCTGTTTATGGTGTCCTTTGCTGTGCAAAAGCTTTTAAGTTTCATTAGGTCCCATTTGTTTATTTTTGTTTTAATTTCCCTTTCTCTAGGAGATGGATCCAAAAGAAATTGCTGCAATTTATGTCACAGAGTGTTCTATGTTTTCCTCTAAGAGTTTTATAGTATCTGGTCTTAAATTTAGGTCTTTAATCCATTTTGAGTTTATTTTTGTGTCTGGCGTTAGAGAATGTTCTAGCTTCATTCTTTTACATGTAAGCTTACAGTTTTCACAGCACCACTTATTGAAGAGACTGTCTTTTCTCTATTGTATATTCTAGGCTCCTTTGTTGTAGATTAGTTGACCATAGGTGTGTGGCCTTATTTCTGGGCTCTCTATCCTGTTCCATTGATCTAGATTTCTGTTTTTGTGCCAGTACCATACTGTCTTGATTGCTGTAGCTTTTTAGTATAGTCTAAAATCAGTGAGTTTCATTCCTCCAGCTCCATATTTCTTTCTCAGGATTGCTCTGGCTATTTGGGGTCTTCTGTGTTTCCATACAAGTTTTTAAAGTTTTTGTTCTAGTTCTGTGAAAAATGCCATTGGTAATTTGATAGGGATTGCATTGAATCTGTAGATTGCCTTGGGTAGTGTAGTCATTTCTACAATATTGATTCTTCCAATCCAAGAACATGGTATATCTTTCCATCTCTTTGTGTCATCTTCGATTTCTTCCATCAGCATCTTACAGTTTTCAGAGTACAGGTCTTTTGCCTCCTTACGTAGGTTTATTCATAGGTACTTTATTCTTTTTGATACCATGGTAAATAGGATTGTTTTATTAATTTCTCTTTCTGTTCTTTCATTGTTAGTGTATAGAAATGCAAGAGATTTCTGTATTAATTTTGTATCCTGCAACTTTACCACATTCATTTTTGAGCTCTAGCAGTTTTCTGGTAGCATCTTTAGGATATTCTATGCATAGTATTATGTCATCTGCAAACAGTGACAGTGTTACTTCTTATTTTCCAATTTGGATTCATTTTATTTCTTTTTTCTTCTCTGATTGCTGTGGCTGAATTTCCAAATCTATATTGGAAAACAGTGGCGAGAGTGGATATGCTTGTCTTGGTCCTGGTCTTAGAGGGAATGCTTTCAGGTTTTCACTGTTGAGTATGATGTTAGCTGTAGGTTTGTCATATATGGCTGTTATTATGTTGAGGTACATTCCCTCTATGCCCACTGTCTGGAGAGTATTTTTTTTTTAATCATAAATGGGTGTTGAATTTTGTCAAAACCTTTTTCTGCATCTATTGAGATGATTATAAGCTTTTTATTTTTCAGTTTGTTAATGTGGTTCATCACACCGATTGATTTGCATATATTGAAGAATCCTTGCATCTCTGGGATAAATCCCACTTGATCATGGTGTATGATCCTCTTAATGTATTGTTGGATTCAGTTTGCGAGTATTTTGTTGAGAATTTTTGCATTTAGATTCATCAGTGATATTGGCCTATAAATGTCTTTTTCTATGGTATCTGTGTCTGGTTTTGGTTTCAGGGTGATGGTGGCCTCATGAAATGAGCTTGGGAGTGTTCCTCTGCAGCTTTTTGGGAAGAGTTTCAGAAGGACAGCTGTTAACTCATCATTAAATGTTTGATAGAATTTGCCTGTGAAGCCATCTGGTCCTGGACTTTTCTTTGTTGGAAGTTTTTTAATCACTGTTTCAATTTCAGTACTTGTGATTGGTCTGTTCATATTTTTTATTTCTTCCTGGTTTAGTCTTGGAAGGGTGTATCTTTCTAATAATTTGTTCATTTCTTCCAAGTTGTCCATTTTATTGGCTATAATTGCCTGTAGTAGTCTCTTATGAACCTTTGTATTTATGTGGTGTCAGTTGTAACTTCTCCTTTTTCATTTCTACTTTTTCATTTCTAATTTTATTGATTTGAACTCCCTCTCTTTTTTCTTGATGAGTCTGGCTAAAGGTTTATCAATTTTGTTTATTTCTTCAGAGAACCACCTTTTACTTTCATTGATCTTTTCTATTGTTTTCTTCATCTCTATTTCATTTATTTCTTCTCTGATTGTTATGATTTCTTTCCTTCTACTAACTTTGGGTTTGTTTGTTCTTCTTTCTCTAGTTGCTTTAGGTGTAAGGTTAAGTTGTTTGAGATTTTTCTTGTTTCCTGAGGTAAGACTGTATTGGTATAAACTTCCCTCTTAAACTGCTCATGCTACATTTCATTGGTTTTGAATTGTTGTGTTTTTGTTGTCATTTGTCTCTAGGTATTTTTTTATTTCCTCTTTGATTTCTTCAGTGATCCATTGGTGTTGAGTAGCATAGTGTTTAGCCTCCATGTGTTTGTGTTTTTTACGGGTTTTTTTCTGGGAGTTTATTTCTAATCTTATAGCCTTGTGGTCAGAGAACATGCTTGATATGATTTCAATTTTCGTCAATTTACTGAGGCTCGATTCATGGCCCAGCATGTGGTCTATCGAGGATAATGTTCCATGTCCACTTGAGAAGAATCTGTATCTTGCTGCTTTCAGATGGAATGTTCAATAAATATCAATTAAGTCAATCTGGTCTAATGTTTCATTTGAAGACTGTGTTTCCTTGTTGATTTTCTGTCTGGAAGATCTGCCCATTGATGCAAATGGGGTGTATAAGTTCCCCACTATTATTTTTTACTGTCAACTTCTCTGTTTATGTCTGTTAGCATTTGCCTTATATATTGAGGTGCTTCTATGTTGCGTGCATATATATTTACAATTGTTTTATCTTCTTCTTGGATTGATCCCTTGATCATTATGTAGTATCCTTCTTTGTCTCTTGTAACAGTCTTTATTTAAAAGACTATTTTGTCTGATATGAGTATTGCTACTCCAGCTTTCTTTTGATTTCCATTTGTGTGGAATATCTTTTCCATCCCCTTACTTTCAGTCTGTATGTATCCCTAGGTCTGAAGTGGGTCTCTTCTAGACAGCATATATATGGGTCTGTTTTTGTGTCCATTCAGCAAGCCTGTGTCTTTTGGTTAGAGCATTTAATCCATTCACATTTAGGGTAATTATCAGTAGGTATATTCTTTTTTTTTACATCTTTATTTGAGTATAATTGCTTTACAATGTTGTGTTAGTTACTGCTGTATAACAAAGTGAATCAGCTATATGTATACATATATCCCCATATCCCCTCCCTCTTGCATCTCCCTCCCACCCTTCCTATCCCACCCCTCTAGGTGGTCACAAAGCACCAAGCTGATCTCCCTGTGCTATGCAGCTGCTTCCCACTAGCTAGCTATTTTATATTTGGTAGTGTATATATGTCCATGCCACTCTCTCACTTCATCCCAGCTTACTCTTCCCCCTCTGTGTGTCCTCAAGTCCATTCTCTACGTCTGCGACTTTATTCCTCTTCTGCCCCTAGATTCTTCAGAACCCGTTTTTTTTTTTAGATTCCATATATATGTGTAAGCATACGGTA